CTGTGACTGTTGACGCTTTTTCAAAATCTGAGAGGTTCACACCCAAATTTTTTTGATTGGACAATACTTTTTTTTGATGGCGGGAGCAATCCCAGACCGAGGAAAGGTCAGCATTTTGCGACAATAATGTTTTTTTTGTGATCCGGAAAAAGTTTTTTTGATACCTAAAAAGTTTTTTTGATCTGGAACTGAAAGATTTTTTTGATCCTGATAACAGTTTTTTTTGATGGCCATTCCGATTCCGTCTTGTAGTTTAGTGTGGTCCCTGCAAAAGTCCCTAATAAGGAATCCATGTCCATGGAGTTATGTAGAGAATGCTGGCTGGTAGCTCCTTATGTTTACCGTTATGTCTATACTTTTCAGGATGTTTATATAGGTGCACATCGATATACACCTGAATGTAGAGTATACGTCCATGTGCACATTTTCCTATGCATGATTTACGTATATATACATGTTCTACTTAGTCGTTATCGTATATTTCACCTCCATATACATATATGCACATGTTGTAGTTGTATACTGTATATTGTATCAGATGGGTAAGGAGGTGGTGTGAGCACATGGCCTGTCATCAGGCAATCAGCCTGATGAAAGCAAGAAAATTTCCTTGCAACTTCAGGCCCCTCAGAGCCCTGCACTTTATCTTCCAAGCCGCGGCACCTGCCCCCTTGCCAGCCCCACATAAGTTCTTTTGAGAACTATCTGGTCTTTCTTCTGTGAAGGCCAAGACAGGTATGCGGACCACACCACAAGTCTCTTTGTCAGGCAAGCCCTTGCAAAAGAAGTCGCAGCTCTTCACACGAGATCAGACCGTTGCCATCGTACTGAACCTCAATGCCAGCAGAGACTCTGCTAAATGATGGTCACTCCATTGTGTCTAAGCCTAATGACCTCCCATGTGACGATAAAGTTCGAGCGGATCAAGATGCTACATGCACCCCTTGGGATGAATCGTCAGTTCGTAACTCGCTGAGCAGGGCATAACTGCATAACAGGGCATAACTTGTTATGCACACGGTCATGAGTAGGACATGTTTTGAAGACATGTCAACCGAGGCGAGCTTGCGAACACGATGAGCCTGTTCAGAGATGGTGTGCGTGTCTCGGAGCCGCAGCTTGGAATGACTAAATGACTCGAGCTTCTCAGCTTCTTGAAGCTCAGCAGCACCATGTAGCCCTATAGTATCGATGGGGCACCAATCCTGTTTGCTGCTGTGAAAACCGTTGGCTTCAGGTGGTTCTGGGTACAGGGCTCTGGCAGTGTGGGGCATTGTGGGGTGAGGCGTGCTTGTCTGAATGGGTGTGCGAAGTCTTTGGGAGCACTGTGCGATACTGTGCGCGTTGAGACGTACATGTACCTTTGCCAAGTGCAGCATGCATCCTGCAGCCGGAATACCAAGCGTGCTTCTTGCCTCACGCGCTAGTCTTGAAGACTGGGATCTTTGCATACCAACAGCCCTAAGTCTCTCACCACAAGGCAGCCGCTACCAGAATCGATGCGGAACAAGACTCTCTTTCCGCACATCTGCTCCTTGGAGCTAGTTGGACTGGCATGTGGGTACGTCCTGGCATAGACCCTGTCTGAGCCCTGCGATGCAAAGTGCAATCAGTTCTCTGTGAATCTATAGTTCGAAGCGATGGAGGCTTTAGATCGGAAATGGTAGGCATGCTCAAGGGCGATGCAACAACGTCAAGCCTTCAATCACAGCTTCTCACAAGATTGGTGGATTGTCGGGTCCGACCACTTCGTCCTTGTCAGGCTATCGCAACGTCTCCCTGCAAGTCAACATGGGCCCCGACCTCTTGAAGCCACTCCCGCAACTCGCTTTGCCACCATGCTAGCTTGTACTGGAGTCTTCAAAAAGAACTTGTGCTCATTCTTGACCTATTGTAGATTCTACAGTTTGCAAGCGAAAGAAATTGCAAGCGTAATCCCCGCAATAGCTAAGCGGCTGCAGAATTGTTTGGCTGTAGCATATAGCTCCAAGGTTATATTGCTGGGGCCAGCTGGCAAATTTTGGGTCTGTGATGGGCTTGTGATGCTGTGTGTGCGCTCTTCACCACAGCAAGAAAACCTAACCTACAGTATCTGCATTACAGCAAGGCATGAAAATCCTAGAGCTTTCTGCTGGAGGTTGTTAAGCAACCTAAGACTTGCAATAGATGCTCCGCAGCGAGCATGAGCGTGCACGATAGCCGGACGGCCGAAAAGGTCAAGAAGTCTGAGGTTTGAGTGCCGCATGCTTCAAGATGCTGCGACAGCGGACATGGCAGAGGCAAGATCCGCAAGACAGATGACCAGTGCTTGCAGTGGTCTGTGCGCCTATACCCTACATGTCTGCAAGCCGAAGCTTGTCCAAGCCAAGAAGCTTCCGAAGCTCCGACCACCACACACTCGTCCTTTTTGGGCTCTGCAAGTCCCTTTCACAATCCGAATCCGAAGTGTCTAACAGGATTCCAAATTTAACTGGGTCAAATCCACTGCACTGTGGATAGGGCATTGGATTTGCGTCCAAGTTGGAGTTGGCCTGAGTGGCATGCAAGCCCTGTTGTCCTCAAGCCGCCTTCAACCCCTAGGCCGCAGATTCTTGGGCTCAGACCCCCATCTCTGGAAGTCTCCGCTTGTCTACCGTCCTTGACAACCTACTACCCTAAGCTGCCGAAACTTGAGCCGCAAACCCGGAGGCCAAGGATCCTGGCAAGAGCGGCCGCTGCGAGGTAATTGTTCCGGCCACCTGGCCATTGGGTCTGTCAAAATTGTGGGGCTAGTTTTCCGGGTCCTTTGCAACAAGGATCCTCATGCTCCATTTTTTTGGGAGAGGCAGCTTCATAGACAAGACAAGCGCCAGGTTTGAGGCTTTGAGGGCTTGTGGTTTAAGGTTCAAAAGGGCTTCTTTCGGGGCTCGGACGAGAAGCTTAACATCCAGATTAGGAAAAACCCGGTTTCAGCCACCAGGCCCCCGAATCAGCCAGCAGGAGCCACGATTTGTTGCGGTGATGGCGATGAGCAACCTTCCTGTTGTTCGGTTGTACTTGCTGTGCAGATCTGTGCAGCATCACTATTCTCTCTAGCGCTTCTGCGACTTTGTTCAGCACGAGAGGGGGATGAGGAGGAGGAGGAGTGGGAGGCGGAGCTGCACTCTTGTGGGTGGGTCATGGCTGCTCCAATGCTGCTCCTCTTGCTGTTGTTCATGCTCCTGCCGTTGCTAGGAAGTTGTAGCCCAATCAAGCTGAGGTTGCCGTTCCTGATGAAGGCACCTTTGACTGGTTGGATGACTTCCTCACGAAGAATCCGAGCCCCTCGTGCTAGCTCTGAGCGAGAGGAATTGTGAAAGTACTGCTCGCTGAAGCCTGGACATTGCTTGCATTTGCATGTTACTAATGTGAGTTAGCTTTGATACATGGTGACCTGCGGTAACAGGGATCTCATTTCTGGCATCTGCTGCGTTGTGCTGAGGCCCTGTTTGGGATTGTGGTCCGCATTTAACTTCCAAGATGACTGCAGGGTGTTGGCTGTGCCCGTAACTGATTTCGTCTATCCTTGAGTGATTTTGAGTGTGTGCCAAGAATTTGAGGATGCAGTTGGTAATAAAGAACGATGGCTGTTGGTGTGCATCTACATTCACCGCCAAGGCTACGTGGAGCTCAGCGACCGCAAGATCCAAGACTGGGCAGCCAGCAGTGGCTGATTTCAAGAGCTCACAGACTTCCAGAATTTGAAACGAAGCACTTCTCCTGCGCTGGCAGGATTCAAGCACAAGCAAATTCATAGTTCATGCTCGCAAATTTGCTCCTCAGACGGCCGGCGCTAGACCTTTTCAAGCCTTGCCACATGCCGTGATGCCTCTCATTTGGCCTTTCGTGGTTCCGTGATGTTGTTGTCTGATGTTTACGGTAATTGCTTGCTTAGCAGTACCCTAAAGTTGTCAGCAAGGTGGCCTTCCTCGACCTCGCATCATGGGCGGAGCCTGTGCTGATAAGCCCCTTGCCGTGATTAGTTGGGCATTCTGGCAGCTAGCTTGTAGTGCAGAAGAGCCGGCTGCTATAAGCTTGGCATTCCTGATCAAGGACAGGGCGAGGAATCCAGAGACGAAGGTGTCAATTTGGAGCTCAAAATTGGGCGTTGCTATGTGGTCCAACATACCCGGAGTATACGTAGTGCCCAGCATTGTTAGGGCAAACATCTGCAATGACTTTTAAGCTGCAGTACGAACAGAACCATGCATGCAGCAGGCGTACTCTCGCACTTCACATCACTTCACACAGTGAGGAATGGACAACCAATCATGGCCCCAGTCATTGGTTGAGCATGCTTGCACGGATGCTTGACTGCCTTCTGCAAGCCTGGAAAGGCCCAGCTTCAGCTACAACCTTCCGAGCATGGAAGATGGTAGCGTTCAGCGTGTAATCAAGGCCGCAATGCATGAGCTGGGTTGAAGCCTTGCCAGGCTTTGTTTGCCTAGGGGCCTAGCCGGTTGCGCATGCATAGTTGCAATGCCTGCTCAATTTTTCGTACACATTGAAGCATGAATCTACGTGGGAACTTCTGCCACCTTCTATCGCAGCCTAACTTACAGGCAAGGCCATGCTCAAGTTAGAGCGCAGCAGACGCTAACTATTCGTGAATTCGAGACATTTGTGTGTTTACCCGCACCCCACTGCGTGCGTGACCAGTGCTTCCAGAGATGGTGTCTAGATGTCTCTAGCCTCGTGTCGAAGTGATGTCCGCAACGAAATGCTTGGGAATTCAAACATGCGACTTTACGACAATCTGCTCATCGCGGTTGTTGGAACTGCCAGACATATGGGCTATATGAAGCGCACGGTGCTCTTTAGCACTCTTTGCAGGCCATGGCGCCCATGGTCCCGCGGAATTATGTGGTCATGGAGGCATGTGCTAAGCCAACTTGAAGAGCTCTCATGGTGAAGGCTTCAAAATTGGCTTCTCACATTATCGTACTTTAGGAAAAGGGGTTCAGAAGTTTCCACCACTCTGTGGGGCCCATACAAGCTCCATGCCGGTGGTCCTGTAGATGTATTTTCTGGTTTTTGATATGCCACGTGACAAATGGATCCGAGCACAGATCGAAGCCTCTTTCAACAGCATGCTTAGTCCATGTGTCCCTTCTCCAGTGTTTGGGTCGGTGTTGTAGAGTGCGGCATTTGGCTAAGCTTTCAGCCACAGATGCGCATTACAGTAGCCATCCACGACCCTTTTGAGATGTTTGGATTGATACGCGTTTTCTGAAGAGTGTTGCGTAGTGTGAGAGTTGCGCTAGGCCTTTTTCAGAGGCCTCCATATTAGAGATCGCTTGTGCAGCTAGCTTGCTCACTTCTCTTGGCTTGAGTTGGAACCTCTTTTCGTGGAAATGTAGGCATTGAATTTGCACAGCTCGCAGCGCATTCTCCTTGTTGACTTGCTTGCGTGCTCGCGGCGTGCGCTCACTCTTCTGTCTTGCTCCCTCCCTCGCTCCCGCCCTTCTTCCCACATGCTTGTGCATAGGTGCCCATGGTGTGGTAGGTACGTGAATGCTGTGCATGTGTGTACTAACTTGGTGGTTTCTTGTGAGCATAGAATTAGCATCTGAATGTTGGCAGGTCAAGTCCAACCTGGTCAAAGAGGAGCGTGTGCGCTGTGAGACGAAAACTGCAACCAGCAAAAGCAGTCAAATGGTTTCCTTTGGCCCCGATCCCCTGGTTGTGCCAGTTTTGTAGGAAACAAAGTGGGACCTTTGAGGAGGTGTGCTGCACAGACCACAACAGTAACTGCTCTTCTTGGGTTTTGGGTTTTAGGAGCGCCAAGAGCTCCTTCAGCGCTTCAGCAGCCCTCACTTCAAGAAGACGGCCAAGAGCTGAGTCAGCTTTTCAGTTGCTACTTGTAGCGCGCTCGCCTGGTGGGTTCGTGCTTTTTCAGATGGGGAGAGGAGGAGGGGGGATAACTCAGTTTTTTGGATTTTGTTCTGATGTCATGCCGTTCAGATCACTGATTTTCAGCAAAATCGTGGAAAACAAACAGACATGAGAACTTTTGGATCCTCAGTCAGAACCTGGCGCCTCGCGCGGCCTGCATGCACACGCGAGGTTTCCAAAACCGGATACTTTCAGGCAAAATATGGCAGAATAACAACCTTCAAACGTCTTGCGCAGGAACAATCTAGCTTCACATGGCTCTCGGGTGCGGTATTCTAGAAAGATAACCTGCTGCTTGGATTTGCAGAAACACAGGGGAGTTCATGGAATGCTTCAGGAAGGGATAGAACCATTTGAGGCAGTAGCGAGCACTCGCATTGCTCTAAAGCGTCAAGGTTGAGTTTGGAGGTTGTCAATTTCCGTCTTCTTGTCCAAGCTGTGCTGTTCTTGACCAGCCCGTGCACGTCAGGGTTCTTCCTAAATCGAGCCCCAAACTGCAATGGTCCGCGGATTCACCAAGCTTTGTAGCCTTCGCATGAATTCAGAGTCCAGTGACCCACACCAGGCGACAGACTCCAAAAAACATTCGGCCCATAATGCCCGACCCCAGCCTGTGCGCTTAGGCCCTGGTGGTCATGGGCGAACCCAGCGAGGCATGCAAAGGGACAGGAGTTGCTAGATTGGGTTTCAGGGAGATGCTGCGTTGTGAAGCTTAGAGGTCCCTGCTCAAAGCAAGAGTGTTCTGAAAGCTGGGGCAAGGTGTCAGTGCAGTAGGGAAGGCTGCGCCACTGGTTTGAATGCTTACTTTGATGCAGCGCGATTGGCGCGATGGCTCTACGGGGCTTGGTGTCTGGAGAATACTTTAAACGGAGGCGTAGTAAAGAATCTCAAGCTTTTTCGGGCATCCATGTTGTCTTGATTGGATGAGAATTTTTCGCAGACCTAAAGACGACGGAAAGTTGCCTTTGGGCGCATTTCAAGCATTCCAGGCTTGAGATGCTGGCATCCCTGACCTGCCTTCCGCGCAACTGGTGCCAGGAGTTCAAGCAGCGAACCTGGAACCGACTTCTGGCAGAGAAGCAGGCCAAGGCATCTTTGCTCAGTCATCGGGCCTGAAGCGCAAGAAATCAGTTACAGCAGATACCAGAGCGGGGGCTCTGGTCCGCCAAGGTGGACGCCGAGTGGAAGGTGAAGAAGGCTGCTGCACAGCGCCAACGGGAATTGCAGGAGCTTTGGAGCTTCTCCGCTTCAGGATGTTGAAAGTTCTCCTCATGAACCTGTTTCAAACTCTAGGATGTGGGTCTGGGACGGTTTGGGGGTTTCTGCAGAGAGTCTCAGGGTCAATGTCTCTGGCTCTGGTCTGAGCAGCACTCAGCAAACGCGGTCAGATGTCTGCAGGAGCTGCGGAAGAAGGCTGAAGAGCAGCGCAAGCATCTCGCTCGTATCATGCATGAGTCATGAGGTGACCCGAATCTTAAGCCCTCAGGTTTGGAGGAGGTACTGCTGGAAGCTGGCTTCAGAGGGCAGAACATGAAGGAGCGTAAGCGCCCACCAGTGTTTCCAGCATTTTTCCGCCTTCAGTTCCTTGTTGCATTGTTTCATGGTCCCTGCAAAGTGAATGCCTCTGGCCTTTTTAACAACTCAGGAAGAAGCTCGATGAAGCCAAAAAGAAGGAGGAAGAGGCCTCATTCCTGGCCATGCCTAAGTGTCCTAAACATCCCCAAAATCAAGCCGTAGGCATTGTCTTTCCACTTTGGAGGGTTGACAAGCAGGTGGTTGCGATACCCCAATGTTGTCCACCATGCTTGATGGTCAGTATCGTACATCTTGAGAAGCATCCAGATTCTTCTTCTGTCGTCTTCATGTTTTGCATTAAGCTGCAAATGGACGCGGTACACTACATGGTCTGTGAGTAATGAAGGCCTCTAAAGACCGTTTGTACTTCGCCCCGATTTCTTTGGCTTGGCTTGGGACGCTTCCGCGCAACAGGCAAAGAAAGGGGACGGTGACTCTGCCATGGAGGATGTCAAGGACGAGGTCAGGGAGTGTATGAATTTCAGCTCGCGTTTGGGGCCCTGGACTTCTTGGAAAAGACCCAGTCGCTGAAAATATAGATGTGGACAGATTATGACAGATGCTGTGAACAATGAGGATTACTCGAACGAGTCGACAGGTAGACTGTTCACTCAACACAAGTGAACAAATATGCGGCAGCCAGTGGACAAACTCAGGTGTGATTTGCTTTGACTGCTGTGCTAGAGTCGTTCACGCTCATGCTGCCACAGAGCAGACACAGGTCAAGGAGGAGAAGGACATCAAGGAGGAGGTGCAGACGTTGCACATGGCAAGTCGAGCTATCACTGTGCATGAAAGTGGGTTTTGTGTTTGCTATTACATGGCGCCCATCATGACAAGGATGAACAATGTACAGCGCGCCCTGGACGCTAATGGCATCAGCCTGAACACGAAATCGTGTGCTAGAACCACAGATTGCAGTAATCATAAGATAGAGAGGAAGGCTTTAGCGATGCATGCATTCTGGCATCCCATCCCTTCCTGCATTCCCTGCTTTGGTGCCGAGTGTGCAGGGGTTGTGGCCCATGGATGACAGGCTTCAGCCACGCTCCTTCAAATCCCATTCTGAGTGCGCCAGGAAGAGAAGGAAGATGACGGGCTCGGCGATGAGCCCCCACAGGCGGAGCTCACGGACGAGGTGTCTGACAAGCTACAGATTCCGTACCATTAGCTGTGGCAGTACGGATCGGAGCTATGGAATGGAGTACCTATGTTTCCGTCCCAGATCCCCTTGCAAATCGGCATCCATGTACCTCGGGTGGGGGGCGAGCTTCACTTTAGATGTCTCGAACGCCCGTGATATGGCTACCATGCTTTGTTAGCAGGAAGGTGCCCTTCCAGCTTGTGTCCAGCGTCAAGCTCCAGTCTTTGACAGGAGAAGAAGAAGTATTTCCGCAACAGGCTGGCAGGGTTCTGTCAGGGTTGCCACAGCATTTCATTCCAGGTGACTGCTTTCGAGCTGGCACAATCATGAGGATTGCCGTCCTGCCAAAGCGGTCAAAATCACAAGCTCTGCCTAGGCAAGGGCTTCCAGACCTTGCTCCGACCACGCTGCGGAAGTTCCTCCAGCAGCTGCCTGGCCATGTAGTTGAGGACATCAATTAGCCAACATGTGGCTGCAGTTGCAGCAATCACTGCCATGGCAGACATGTGCCATGTAGCTTAGGCAGGTTTATATGAGTCTTGTGCGATATGCCCCGAGTCTGTAGACCCAATCAGAACTGTGTAACAATTTGTCTATGCTGACCGCAGTGTCACAGAAATTGTGTTGACGTGTTTACAATGCACGATGTCAGCAAACTCATGGGAGAGCGCTGCTTTGGAAGTATGACCCAATTTACTCGATGGGGTAGCTGCCCTGTACGGGAGGAGGTACGCCGGATGGCCCTTGTGCCGTAATGTTTTGGAAAACTAGCTCCGGGTCACCAGCACTGTGAAGCAAAAATAATCTTGAAGACGCAAACACTGCCTCACCTAGACCACACTAAGCTGAGGCTATCATAGCGAGGCACGATTTTTTATGTTTTGCTATCTTCTGCACCTCCAACGCAACCTCCTATGGAGGTTCAGCCTTCCAGAGAAGTCGGAGGGCTGGGATGAGATCAAGACCCTTGGCTCAAGGAACCCTGAAGAAACTCACAAGGAGGTGGAGATGTCTCAGCGAAGTTCATATTGTCCTGTGCTCTGGAATCTGGAGATGTCATGCAATCGACGCGGTTAGCTTCTTGCATGAGATCCAGCGAGATCCACAGTTTGCTGGATGCTGCAGGTATGCGTGGGACCAGGCACATTCTAGCAGAGACTATCTGCGAAAATGGGTTGTGGAGGCCGGCTTGAAGCCTAGAACCTGAGCCAGCCATCCATCCTTTATGCTCCATCTTCACATTGTGCAGATCCCACTTTCTCTGAACTGTTCTTCTGAAGCTTTTTCATCAAGCTTGGCGACTTGTCTTCAACAAGCAGCTGAGCCTGCCAGGCCAAGCGCACAACTCTCATTGAAGATCCACAGCCTTCCCAGACCTTTACCACCAAGCAACTTGGTCAGCAAGTGAAGCTGATTATTGCGTCATGCGGAGCGCCCTGCCATCGGTGACGAATTGTAAGATGGGTCAGTTATTGATAATTTCCCATCTGGGCTGTAAATGCACAGACGCTGACTCTTTGGCGAACATATACTCACTCTTTCCGCATCACCCCTACTTGTTGGGGGTCTGAGAAGACTCCTGATGTTGGAAGCCAGCCATGACTTGCCGCTTCAGCGGAGCACAAGGCTATAATGTGTGTGTACATATGCAATCCATTGCGATCTCATGTTCTTGGCTGCTGCTGGTGCCTTGCTGCTGGAAAAGGTTCATGGCCTGGCAGAAGCAGCATCTGGACTTCCAGCAGAAGCAGAACCTTTGGAAGGCCATCTTACCATTATAACCTTAATTGTAACCAAAAAAGGTTCCCATGCATTTAGAGCCCGGCATGGCTCCCAAGCAGGACCAGGGCTTGAGGTTCCAGGGACATACTTGGTCTTGAGATGTTCTTGAGCTCTTGAGCTTCTGCTGGTTTTGAAGGGTTGACGCTCAATATAGAGAGTACCACATATATTGGAGACCCATGGCCTTGCCATGGCTTACACGTCATGTTGTGGTCTGCAAAGAGGCCAAGCCGAAGAAGGAGGAGGATGCTGCATCCATCGCTGCCAGAGCAAATATCGACATCTTTGCCGTTGAGGACCTTAACCTGGCACTTTACCATAGAAGCTCAACCGCCTGAGGGCTAGCAAGATTGCATGGTGTTGTGGGAACCCACTGTACCCTTTCAGGTCGAAGGGGCAGGAGAGACTTGCAAAGTCTAAGCTGGGATGTACATGATCCAAGCTTGCCACTTCGCAGGATCCCAATCACTGCCCTACACATGAGCTCATTGAAAGATGTCTTTCCTTCTTGCAGCCCAGAAACAGCCATCACCCAGTGATCCTTGCTTCAGAGGATGTGAATGACATCAACGATGGCGAGCCGCTCTACGCCCACTTCGAGCCCGTGGACTGGGCTCTGACGCTCATCTGGAATTTTCAAAGTCAGCAGAGCACCCTCCTGCCTTGGGGCACACAGTCCGGCCTTCCGTGTGGAAGGAGTGGTGTTGCTACTGCCTCCTCTTTACAAGATTCATCAGGATGCAATCGAGTAACGTCCTTGCCAACAGTGCCTTGATTTGGGAATTTTTGAAGGCTCTCACAGCCGCTATTGGCCACTCACATTTTCGCGCGGAAGCAATAATGCAAAATCCTACACATCCATTTGCCGGCACGTTCAGCCACAACTACAGAAGAACGTTTTTGCTTGGGTTCTGCAGCATGCCTTGGAAGTAGAGCCTGCGCAAGCCTCATTCGGTGTTACTCGTGTCACTCGACCGGCCCACCAAACCGTGCAGGTATGTTGCAAACCTGAGTGCAAGAAAAGCATTCTCCCCATGTTTAGGGATCCCATGTGAGCCTGCCCGCATTCAAGGCTACAACTTCGATACGAGCTGCATTTGCTGCAAGAGTGCCTTTTTGCAAAAAGCATCTGGCTGGAGCGACCTAAAGCGATGTGCCAAAGGAATAGGAAGAGCATTGGTTTTAGGCCCTCCTACAAATCATGAGATGCATGGGCATGCTGGCCTCTGTGGATATGCACCTCCAGCCCATGAAGGCATGAGTACATACAACAGCCCGGCATGCCCGGGTCTTTGTATTTACCCGGGTAGTGCTGTTCAACGAGAGCTGATGAGAGCCAAACTCACAGCACAACCGAAGAAGAGAACACCCTGCTGTTTCTTGCATTTCCGAATCAGCCTCCAGGGTATGTTCAGAGCAATTCCAACGATCCTCCTTCAGGTCATTCAAGAGGGATGTGGAGGACGAGGACCGGAAGCTTATCCCGGAGCCCCATCTCTCGTACTACTACAGCAACTTGCATTTGCACAGATAAAGTCGTCTGGCCTCTTCTTGAATTTACTTCGCGGGCTGTAAGTTTTTCATTCTGCACCGTTAATGGAACATGTTCTCGGGACGAGCAGCACTTGCTTTAATGCTTTGGACCTTTGGTGCGTGTCCAGCTGGTGCCTGTTTCTTTAGATGATTTGACTGCTCCAGCAATTATAATGGCTTACCCTAGCTTGTAATCCTGTTCCTGGCCAGTCACAGGGCCAGTACTTCTGGAGAATTATTCTTTGCACAAACGAGGCAAGTACTTCCGCAAGCAGCTGAGCCCTGGAGTCTTCGGCCAGAAGAACAACACGGAGTCTCAACTCAATGGGGTGCTTAGCGCAGCAGCTGCAGAATCCCAGTGACCCTAGAGGCAGCAGATACCAGCCCGTGTTGCTTTTACCAGACTGAGCAACTGACTTCTGCCGATTCAAGTATGTCTGGCTGCCAAGGAGTTGATTAGCCACATCAAGGACGTGGCCACCTGACGGAACGTCTCTTCAGAGTGTAATGCCCATCAGTTTGGCAAGTCAAACAATCCTGGCCCTAAACCGCTTGTCGACCAAGACATCACATGTGAAGGAAATGCTACCCGTAAGTGCAGTCACTGCGCCGGATGTTGTGGTGTTTTTCCAGCAGCCCTGGCCAGACTCTTGAAATGCGGCATCTATGATTCCTACTTGTCTTTGCTCTTCCCAAGGACATTAAAAAAATTCAAGCTGAAATAAAGCAGTTCAGAAGCCCTTCAGGTCACCATCAGCGGAGACCCGCCTCTGCTACTCTCGCAGCTCAGTGAGGACGTGGAGGCCTTGGCAATATTGGGCCAATGGTTGGTAATCCGAGTCCGCACCATCAAACATTGTTGGTTTCTTGGCACATTTGAACTTGCACAGCTGCCACCCCTCTGGCACACTTGCTTGCAACGTTATGCAACGTTTGCTGCTTTGCTTGTGGGTCTGGGCTCAACGCCCGTAAAACGTGAATTCAACTTGAAAGTGGAGGTCGATTCAGCCGACATCTTCGTGAAGCTGCCTGGTAGCAAAATTTCTTTGCCTCGGCTTGAGCCAGTCCAGACTTGACAAGCGCAAACACAAAGACAGAGAAGCATCTGATGACAACATGTCCTCGGAGTGGAAAGTGATGGAAAGTGTGATTGCCCAAGACACGCGGCACATGTTCCAGGCACAGTTAGGCGTTGCAAGCACCCGACTCTGTCCAGAAAGGCGTAAGCCCCTTCTCCTCTTCCCACCCTGGCCATTGACAAGCTCCACAGGAGATTTTTTTGATGTTGGCGGGGGCGAACAGCATGGTGGTGCTACAAAGAACTGAAACCTGAATTAGCCAGAAAGCCCACTCAGAACAGTGCATCTACATGCTGCTCATGCAATCTGCAAGCAGAGCATAGCGGAGCTACATAGTGATGTTTGCGGCAAGAATTGCTGCATGGCGTCTGACTTACTACTGTATGGAGTGTCCTCATACTCTCCCAAGGCGTAATACACCTTCCGTTTGAGAGCTACATCTTGCTTGGTCCTGGCATTTAGAGTAAGACGTCCCTTGGATCCATACGCAGCCCGCAAAACGTCACTCCACCAGCCTCCATGAGCTCTCTTTTTTAGGGCCCTACAGAGCTTCATAGCTGGAGGTTCACAGAGGAGGCCCGGAGGGATCGCAAGCGCCGGCAAGAGGCCGGAGACGAGACTTCCACGCTGCCCCCTAGCTTAACAGAACGAGTTCATAGACTTTGGGGTTCTTGGGGGTGATTTGGGGTCGACGGGGAGCAGGTAAGATGAGGTAAGGGTTCAGGGATCTCTGGCTTTCTGGGAGCAGGTGAGTTGCCTTCCCCGTAAATACAGCTTATAACCATTTCCTTCATGAGCTGTATCGGGACTATCCGCTGTGTTAGATGACTTCGGCGTGTTGGCTTGGGGATGCGAGTCTTCTACTCGAGTGTGCTCACAAGTCAGGAGCGCGCACACTCGCTAAAACCTGAGAAGCTGCAGGTCCAAAGCCTATCTCTGACATGATATCAGTGTTGTGTGTGTGCCGCTTCAGCCAGAGGGAAGCTATGCTCAGAACTCATAAGCCCGCATCTACTACATTGAGAGATATTCTGAGCAAGACAGCATACAAGAAATCAAGGGACCTGCAGCAAAGGAGATACACGGCGCCCGCGGCAGCAAGTACGCCAACTCCACCTCGTCCAGTTGCTTGGTGGAGATGTTTTTTCATAAACGGCTTTAGCTTAGAGCAAAGCAACAATCAGACGCTTCGGGTCAGCGAGGGAATGTTGATGCTAGCATGTGCTACACTGACGCCTGCCAGATGCCTTTGATCTACAGCAGAGGAAGACGCTACTGTACATGCCAGAATGCTTCAAACTTGAACTTTGTAGCTGCCACAACCCTTAAGCTTCCCAGCTGAAGGTCTGAGGTTTGTGCCCCTGACTGACTGCCAATCCCTGAAGCCATAGCAACACGAGATGTCGCCCGGGCATGCATGCTCTAGTCGCGTCTTCTCACAGCCCAGCCCAGGCTGTCACCCCCAGCTGGCAGCCCGCGCCCAGGAATCCAGCACCTCCACTGCTGTTTGAGTTTGTTCATATGCCAGGGTCGCATCGCACGGGTTTGAGGTTCAAGTGCGGAAGAACGTTCTGTTGCGTTCTCAGGGCATTTTGGTTCCCTTTTTGCGGCGCAGCTTTGTTTATCTCGTTTGTTGGCTCCTATTTATGGACCTAAGGAATCTTGTTGTTTTTGTCCGACTAGCAGCTCCGCTAAGTGTCATTCTTTTAGTGATAAGGATTACGTCTAGCAGCAGCAGCGTGCGATTCAACCCAGGCACCGAGGGCGCCGCTGCAGATGGGCAAGGGCTGGCAGAGCGATGGCGGAAAAGGAGGCGGGCTCAGTGCTTGTGTTTTCTGATGGAGTTCTGCGCCGGTAGCTGTTTGTATGTATGATCTTTCTTGTTCATGTCTGGAACTTTCATCTGGAAAGCCTTTTTTTGCATACACCCTCTGCATCAGAGCTTTCGAATTCCAAGGTTGGCAGGGAGGAGACGGTGGAAAGGGCTGGCAGGGCGGCTGGAACAGGCAACGTTTTGGCTTGTTTGCAATGTCTTGTCCGTTTCAGGATCTCAAGTATGTGCTATGATCCTAACGCAATTGGGAAGCGCAGGGCTGCAGGCATAAGCCGTGTGTTGATTTTGCAGAGCATCTGGCACAGCCCGAGCAGCTTTGAGCTTGCATTTCGTACAGCGGCTTGAGCATGGAAAATGATGTTAGAGTTGTGCAAGCCACAATTAAGATCTTTCCAACTTCCCCTTCGAGGACGCTTCACGATCCAAGTGTTTTGGCCAGATAGTCTGGAGCCCTGGAACCCTTAGATCATCTTAGACCATCTTAGACCCCTTGAGGGTGCCTTTAGACCGCTCGAACGGCACGCCGCAGGTGGTGACCTTGCAAGTGCTACATTCGAAGCTATGAGAGGCTGCAGCAAAAACGGAGCGCACCTGCTTTGGGACATGGTAGGCATGTAGCCTTTGAATTCGAAACTTGCATCTGCCCTTCTCCTGCTGCAGACAGGTGTGACCAACAGACTGCTTTGCTACAGGCTTGGATAGATGTTGGATACAAAGCTAGTGATGAATATGATGGCAGGATTTGGACGCATGTCCTTCGCCCGTAAGCATTGCACAAGGAGAGCTTGCAAGATGGCAAGCGAGGAATGTGAATCCCCAGATGTGGTTGTCCGCAATCAGTGCCACAAGCAGCAACAAAGAGTATAGGCCAGCTTTCCATAGGCGATCAGGCTTGAAAATGGAGCACTGAGATTGTTGATCAGAATGCGCGGCAGTCAAGGTTCGAGGCTTGCGCAGCATGCCTATCTGGGGCAAAGAGACCTGGAAGGACGACGGCCACACTAAACAATGCAAGTGTGACGTCTAGGTTGGTCTGTCTGCAGCCGGTTTCTGCGTGACGTGGCAATATGGTAACATATGTTGGCTATGTTTGTGCTGCACACATGTAAGATGGACTCAGGCTTGGATATCAATACCGCAACACTGCAGGACTTGCCTATCTGTTCCCACCTGGAAGAACACTTCTCCGTAATTCAGGAGGACCTTATGCACCCACGCTTTGTTACTTTGTAAGGTTTGTTTGAATGATTTATGTACAACCGCGGCTCTGTTTCTGGTATTAGCCTGCTGGGGCTTTGTAGACACCACCTGCCTAGGTGTGCAGTTCAGAGATCCTCGTGTCGCCGGGAGTGTCTCACAGTAGTGGGCTCATGCGGGCTTGCGGAAGTAATAGACGCAAGCACGTGAAACGGACGCCATAAGTGTTCAGTGTGCGAAACGGGTGCAATCCTAGCTCGGACTGGAGCGCGTGACTACAAGCCGTGCCCCCAGTGGCCCTGGCATGTATGCCCAAGATCTCAGCACGTTGACTTTTCTAAGGGCTGCAGGGACCTGCGACAACCATCCTCCACTGACCAAGCGGGTTACACGATTCGGCAGTGAGCGTGGCAATTAATCAATCATCCTGCATATTCTCACCCGTATAAATTATAACAGTGTGATTCGCCCATGTCGTGCCCTCAAACCAAACCTCGACACATCAACCTGCACTGCAATGACAGGAGTCCGCGCGGGCTTTAGCGAATGAAGCCGAATCTGGCTTCGAGGACATGATCTGCTGCAGCTTTTTCTGTCTGGTTGGTCAGCCGGTAGAAGAAGAGAGTGCAGAGAAGGATATATATATATATACACATAGAAATGCAGCTTCTGCCTGACAAGAGTTGTTTTCCGGGGCCAGGATCCTAGGGTCGAAGTCACTTTTGTGTCCTGAAGCCCATGGCCCGATCTGCTCACAACTGGCAAGGATGCTTACAGGTTCCTCTATGAGAAGGGCGAGTGGAATCGCGTGCTGCTTTATCACAAGCGCCAGTTCACTCCAGAATGTGCGGGCCTCACCCCCCGCTGTGTGTTTACAGGAGCTCACATGAAGTCACTGACTGAAAGGAGAGCTTAGCAATGCATGTTTGGGCGATCATACAGTGCAGAGATGCGGCATATCAGCAATTCCGGCCTTCCTCTGAAGGCAGCGTGCTGAGCATAAGCCTCTGAAAGCCTCGCAAAGGTGAGCGCGTCTTCCCCAAGACATGTGCGCTGCTGAGGTACCCTTCTCAGACCCTTCGAGCCTAAAGATGAAAAGCCCTCATGGCCAGAGAAGCTGCACTTGATAACATTCTTGCGGCCTTCCAGCACAAGGGAGGATCCCGCGTTGAGGGAAGCTTGGAATGAGTTGTCATGAAGAGAACCGCTGCCAAAGCCAGCAAAAGCTGTATGCGGAACTTGGGCAGATAGTGTGCTAGATGCCAGACTTTGTGTTTGCCTTCATCAACCTTAACATCCGCAGCTACCGAAAACATGAAGCCGTGCATGGTAGGGGGGCAGCTACAGCCCACGCTTTCCAAGCTGCCATCTCCCAGCAAGCACGGCAAGTTTGAGCCCTTTGAACTGAATCCCTCCCAGCGTAAAAAGATGAATCAAAAATCTTCACAACCTCAACCTTTGCAGGCAGTGGCTTCCTTCCAAACCTGGGCTTCCATGGACCTCCGACCAGAATGAACAGGTGGGTGCTAGTGTTTTTTTCCGCTTCCGTTGCTTTCAAGTGAGGCGTCGGGATAAAGCAAGCACACGAGCCTCGAAAGGTTCTTGCAAATAAAAGTTAGCAAAAACATGTGCCGAAGGAGCAGGTGCCGGAAGCATGTTGCATACCCATGTATATGTCTATACACGCTTCCTCGGAAACACATCCCAATTCAACGTTTCCAAAGCCCTTTGTGTGTAAGCGTGTCGGTCAATTTGTAGCTGAAAGGGCCTGCTAGTCTAACAGTGTCAGAGGCATCATTCCTGAATTGTCTGTGTGAGCCATTCATGAAGAACTTGAACCTGCAGCCAGTGCGCTCTCTTGATAGTAAATAAGGATCCTGACATGGGACAAGATATTGGAGAGTGAGCTCATGAATATCCTTTGGTGCAGACCCGCATTTCGGTTCTCAGATTGCCCGTAACCTGCCGGGCGTGTGCTTGACTTGATATCGAATTGCATCCAAGCTGCAGTTGCTCTTCAGTTGTCTTGTCCGCATGCAGGCCGGGCTCGCAAGGCTCTTCTTGTGTGGGTGCATGCGCTAAATTTCTTGAAGACTCGGTCAGATGCGGTACCACGTGCAGCGCTATCTACCACCTGCCGTATATTTTGTTTGATGGTAACACATAGGTTGGTTAGGTTGTAAGAGAGAGCTGAGGTCCGAGTTCCACTTCCTTCATGGCTGCTCATGTGGATGCAATCTTCATTCTGGCTGCCTTCGCTGCACCCCTAGCCGTGACCTACGGGATGCTTGGCCCTTTGGCCGGAGGAGGTGGAACCCTTAGCACAAGCTTCGCCTGGCATCCCATTCTCATGTCTATTGCTTTTCCCTGTTTGATGGTGTTGGGCCGCTGGGCCTACGTCACAGAGTCTCTCGGAGACAAGCAGGAGCAGCGGTCAGCCCACCGCGGGCTCATGATGCTGAGCTCGACTGTCGGCATCCTCGCATATGTTGCGATTTTCATGGCCCACGTGAAGACCCCTTCTTTCTTTGGGTACAACTTCAGCACGCACACCTGGGCAGTGCCATCACGGATCATCCACGACTTTTTAGGGTATACCGTGCTGTTGATGATGATCTTCCAGGCCGTTGTGGGCCTCATGAAATTCTGGAAGCTGCAGGCAGGAGAGAAGTCGTTTCAATTTCATGGCAGCCTGGGCAAGGTGATCATGATCCTAGGGGCAGGCAACATCGTAATTGCCTGCGTTTTCTGGGGATGGAGCCCAGCCTACAAGGTCCTCGTATCCGGGCTTTCACTTGCAGCAGCCCTTTGCGGTGCCCTGTGGCCAGTGCCTGTCAAGCCCGAAAGTGCCCCCTTGACAGAGGCAATGAAGCCTTGACTGGCCGCAGGCAAAGCTCTGCCATACAGTTCATCACTGACGCAGTTGGCAACCATGAGCGGAGTAGATGCTTACACTCGCGGTATCGAGTCACGGCAAAACAGGGGCTTTCTTGCAGTGGCGGAGGAGCACTAAAATGAAGGTAGGCATATAGGTAGGTTCACGGGCTTCTTTGAGAAGCATGACCCCAGCCCTTGGTTTGAAAGCATAGCTTCTTCGTCCGAGCAGCATGGCTCAGTGTCTCGCCGCTGCCGGGCCAGGTGATGGTGATCAAGATGAAGCCGGGCACAGACGCAGAAAACTCAGGCTTCAGGAATACCAGCCAAGAAGTGTCTGCCGTCTTGTTGCTCTGTCGTCGGCATTTAGATTTGAGAGCATTGTGGTTTCAATCTTGACTGCGCTCTGGGGCTCAAGAGATATCTCATTCCGTGGCGCTTCAGGTGGAAACGCACAGTGGTCCGGCCAACAACATTCTGAACATCCACCTTGGTATCTCAGGACTAGAGGCCGAAGAGATCAACATTTTTCTGGGTGGGTGGGTAGCGATTCCCTCAATGCACGACTTTGAACCGGGATTTGTTGGCAGGGTTCCTGCATCTGAAAGGTTCTGCATGCCAATTGCTACCCACGTGAGCAGAGGGCGTGACTCCCTGGCCAGGGCGCTGAGCTCAAGGTTGCCAACAGGAGTTACCACTGGGAAGAGGGCAAGGTGTGTATGCTCAGGAAATCCATGCACAGAACTCCAGCATTCATACCTGTGAGTGCTGAGGGAGAGGTTCTTGCTGTCATGCAGACTAGTGCGAAATATAGATCCTTTAGGCCCTCATGTGGCGGTTGCAAATGCATTTCTACTTGCAGGTCATTGCCTGGGATGGCAGCCTCCCTCTCAGCCCTGTTTTGCGAGTTGCTACGAGAATGGGGCATCGTGCTCCATAAGCTGTCAGCAAGTGTTACAATTGTCAAGAAACAGATCAGATGGCTTTGAGAGACCTGATCAACCTCACCCTTTTCTGAATTCAACAACATCCCATGTCCCAAGCTCTGCTGAGGCTATGACCACACCATAAACTGCCACAAGTGCAAGGAGACCAGAGCCGCATCCTCAGACGCAGCTTCTGCCCTGCAGACCCGGTCAGCAGCCAGCAGCTTGCGACCTTTGCTTTGCACGCTGGGCCGTTGGCTGTTGATCGGGTGAGGCGAATGTATCTGCAAAGCCACAGCCATGCTTTTGCATGGACTCCCTTCTTGTAGCGTAAGTGCTTAGTGACAATCGGCCCTCGATTTGAGGCGATTGGTTTGGGGCACATATCTTCAATGATTCAAAGGGGTCTGGACTTCAACACCACGCAGATCGTTTGGTTGTTGCAAGCTTCAAACGATATGATGTGAACAATTCCAGAGCAAATAAGTGTTCCGGCTGAAGCCTCAAAGCCTTCAGCAACACCATTCTTTTACGCATGTGGGTGCGGACTCGAGCCCATTCGCATGCAGCGTATGCATTCTGTATGCGTCTGACTGAAGTGATGCTAAAGTGGGTGAACTGGTGCAGCCCAGCACATCTTAAGTTCACGCAGATCCGAGCTGTGATGCCATACCCCAATATCCCCGATAGCCGAAGCTGCATGAGCATGGATTGAGGTCATCATGATGGTCCGGTACATGCACCCAGACATGGCCCCTGAGCACTACAAGGCCTCCAAGGAGAGCAGAGGCGTTTCTGAACTGCGACAGCACGATCACTGTCAGAGAGTCTCCCTGACCCTGATACTGCCACCTGGTATCCGGCTAAGCGGTCAACGACATACAGTCTTTGCGCGGACTTCAGAAGCTCAATGATGGATACTCTGTCTGCAGGGCAACAAGCGGACGCATTTCGAGGAAATTCCTGTCGAAATGCAGTGAGCCGCTTCGTCGTGCAAGCTGAAGCCTGACAGCCTGTCGTGCCCAAGCGTGCACTGCAACGTCCTCGAAGAAAGAACTAACTTCAAAATGCTCATATGTAGGTGCAAAGGATTCTTGGGGTATGCTCTGAAGCTCCAGAGTCTAAACTGCATACTTCAGCCTTCAATTTCTTTCCCACCCAAAGCCTCCATGGAGCCTTCAACACCATGTTTGCAGCTGCTACTGTTGCAGCAGGTGTGTAGTCGGTCACCTTGCACCCTGCACCAGCAAGTACACTCCGACAGATTAGAAGCCTCGAATGCCGGGATCTTGCGGGACATCCTGTTACGTAGAGAGTTTGCAGGTGCGAGGATGAGATCTGGAGACTAGGATAGGGAGCAAGTTCACAACAACTTCAAGCATCACTGAAAACTGTCAGTTCAATGGGTTTCCTGAGTCGGTCGCTGCATGGAGACCTTCGGGCTTCAGCTGAAATCTCAGGAGGCATGTTTCTCAGAACAAGGCTCCAAAGATTTGGTGCCGTCAAGTATCGGGGCTGATGCATTCTGCCTTAGTCTCGAAGAGGAGGCCAATTGGAAGGAGACTTCAGGGTTCCAAAGCTATTAAGCCAGTTACGCCTTTGAGTTCGGGCCTTCCGGACACAGGAGCCTTTCAGTGCCGTTCGAAGCCCCAGGCCAATCGAGCAGCAGAAGAGCTTTAGATTGTAGGCGTTTGATCCGGCACGGGGCTTCCTGACACCACAGCCGACACCATCATGGTGTCAGGACATCATCTTCCTGGAAGGCAGTGCTTTGCTGTGAGCACATGGATTTTATGAACTATAGCGCTGTTTGGACTACATGTGTCCCTATCTCTAAATCCATAACGCAATAGGAAGGAAGCACTCGCCACAAACTTCTGGGACGGTTTATCGTCAGACCAAGCTCGCAAAGGCGAAGGCAAATAGTCTTGAACATCTTGGCCAGGCAGGGACTTGCCAAACGCACCAGGCTATTGCAGGCATCCTCACACAGCTAACAGGCTTGGTGCAAGACACTTGACAGGCTTGAAAGGCCTCCATTTGAAAATGACCTGCCCGCGGCAAACATATTTCCGCTTAGGGGAAGAGTCTCCAGATACAATTCTTGGGGCCTGAATGGCTGTCACTGCCCCTAGACCTTGAAAGCAGTATCCTTTCCAAGCTCAGACCCTTACACGCGTGCTGTCGCCGTTTCGAAGTTTCACGGGAGGGACTCCTCTATATTAAGCCCGCAGAGCTGCGGTTGCAATGACTTGGCCTGGTCCTCAGGGACTTGCAAGGGATCCAAGTGAGTCCAGGGGCACCTGTGCATGGAGGCGATTAATGACCTTAGCAGGGCTCAGATGTGCCGCAATCAGGAAGAAATTGCTGTCCGAGCCTTGCAGCTATCAGCAGGTGCCTCCGCGGCAAGGCTTGAGGTTTGCGTGAAAGCCGATGCAAGAAGATTGGGAAGAGGGTTGTCCCAATTTGCAGCTTGGCCACAGGTCCGGAAGCATGCAGTCGCTGTGGAGAAGGCGCGGAGAGCCACGGCAGAGCTTGCTTTCAGCAACAGCCAACTTACGAGACCTTAACATTTTGCACCCTTCACCTACGGACACTTATCAAGCACTTGACGAGATCATTGGGCTACCGCTCAATATGGTTAGTTCGGAGCAAGGGAAAGCGCACATCCCGATCCAGACCCTGCCTGCAGGCTCGACTACAGTGATGGGCCGCTGGCCTTTCCGAGGCTGAAGGGGGCAAGGCTTCAAGAGGATGCACGGCTCAGTGGGCAGAGCAGAGCAGGGAACATGAGAGGTGGAGGTTGGAATAGCACACCCCGATCTGCTAGGCTACGGGCAGAACTTTGTTTCAGAGCAGTAGCTTCACATTGTAGTCAATCAATCGATGGCACTTCTTAGTTCACCACCTCAGAGCCATCCAGAGCTGCCTTGGAGGGAGCCAACTCCATTGGCGGCCCTGCCAATGCCCGGAGGCATGTGGCACATTGAACACATTTCGAGGGGCTTCTTGATTCAGAGGGCCCTGGCAGTCCTTTCCATGTAGATTTGCCGTGTTCGAGATCGTGGTCCTTAGGCATTTAGCTCCTTTAGCTCCTGTCCTGCCGGTCTACAGCTGAGATCTGAGCGACAGGCGGGGCCAGTCCGTTCAAAATGTTTGCCCTTCATACGTCTTCTCGTTCGGAATTGCCTCGATGCAGGTTCGGACGTACTCTTGACGGCCGGCGCCCAAGTGTTCCTGTCTCCAAGCCATCTCATGAATACACTATTATTAATCTTTAAGTGCTGCTTGTTTTGGTGTCAAGGCATGGCACGAGAATGAGATAATTGAGCTTCGTACAGCCTGAAGATGCCACATCATGTTCTCCACTGCCTGGCCTCTGCCAGGAGGTTCTCTGGAAACGTGACTGCATCAGTACAGTAAGCTGTACTACACTATGATCCAGTAGGGTCCACTATTCTTGCGCACTGAAAGCATTAGCGCATCCCCATACGCAGATGTAATTATGTGAGCCTATGCATACAACACCTCCGTTTCGATGCAGAGTTTAATGATGGCCCAGGTTGGCGGGTCCTCGTCGTCAACGGCTCGTGTCCAGGAGCTGCGGGATGGAGAAAAGTGTCGGGTCAGGTGATGAGGTGCGAGTTTGGCTGCGACATGCAGGCTGATCACCGGCGGGCTGAGTATCTGTGTGCCGACTCTAGTAGCCTTTCAACATCTTTCACGGGTCATGAAGCTATCCTAAATGAAGCACATCCGACGCAGAGCTTCGTTGCTGATGACCCCATTCAGCACATCGCCCACAGCAAGGCTACAACCCAACCTTATACCGGACATCGGCAACACTCTGTTTCACAGCACAGGAAGTAAAATCCTTGGCCTCGCAAGACTTCGAAGAGCTTGTGGCTGGTGGAGGCCAAGACCTCATCAGAAGTCTCGAATGCTCTTTCCAAAGCAGCGGGATGATAAGCTCTAGGAACCCTGAACCGCAGCCAATGGTGTTCAACTGGGCGGGCCTGATTCTTCCAGACAGCTGTTGACCGGAGACCAATGCAAACTCTGACTAGAAAACTAGAATGCCGTTCTTTGACTCGATTTGCTCAAGTCCTGCCGTTCAGGCATTTTCTGGGTCTTTGACGGCACATGAACAGGAATGTGAACATGCCTCTTCGTGACAGCACCCAAGCAACCTACAATCGAACCATCATCTTTGAACTTCTGCAGCCAACCAACCTACTTAGCCCTAATCCTACAGATGTTGCTTTGGACCATCCGCACCAAGCCCCTCCAGGCGAGGTTCCAGCAGACTGCTGGTCGGCTCCCCTCTCGGGAGCAGCTCGGCATTCAGTAATTTGGGTGGCATCGGAGAATCTCGGAGAGCAGCGTCAGCAAGCCTAGGCTGCTGGGCAATCTGTAATCTGCTGGGTATATATTGGGGTTATATTGG